ATAGATAGATGGATAGATGGATGGATAGATGGATAGATAGATAGATAGATAGATAGATAGATAGATAGATAGATAGATAGATAGATAGATAGATACCTTTCGCAGGTAAGCAAACAGCTCATCATCACTTTTCACATGTTCTGGTGAAGGCACTCCGACCCTGTTGACCACCGTGTACACAGCTTCTTCATAAAGCAGGTCCAGCTACATGAAAGCACACTTCGCTTAATAACTACATTTTCAAAAAAAAAAAAGAAAGAAAAAAGGCCTGTGTTCTTTTGCCTTCATGCTTTCTGCTCTGCTGCACTTCAAAAGCAGTGAAAAATAACACAACCGTGCCGTTATTGGGAGCTTTTTTTTCTCTTCTTTTTAAAAAAAAATGTAATCCCTACTGAAATACGATGAAAACAGAAAAAAAAAAAAAAAAAAGCAGAGCCGGAATACCTCTGTCCTGCTGATTCTGTCAGGGATAAAGGCCTGGTCCACGTGCTCCTGGGGCGGCGGCACTGTGCAGGCCCCTCTCTGGCACTGTGAGGGGACAAAACCAGTTTGACCAAAGCAAAACCTGCCTTCCATAAAGATTGTGTTGAGTGAGAAAGTGAGAAGCAGAGCGAGGACAAGCTAAAGTCACAGTAAGGTATTATTTTTCACCACTTAGAAGAATGGATCTCCAGTGATTTTCTTTAGAAGAGAAAGTATACAGATTGAAATCCTCTACAAAAAGGTAAAACCTTGAATCAAAACCTTATTGAGTTTAAAGTACAGAAAGGAAAACTACTCGCTCCAATCAAAAGCAACATCTATTCTTATAGGTGATTCATTTATTTATGTTGTGGAAAGCTAATTGTGTGGACATGTTTTATGTTTCCATGACAAACACTTTGCTTTTTGCCTATTTTTTACTCTGCTTACATGCAAACTCTCCGCAAACACACGAATAAAGCATCACTGCCCAACTGTGGCAGTGGGAGAAACTGAACATAACCATCGCCAGAAGCTTGTCACAGCTGAGCTTCTAGTCTTCTAAACACCCCGTTTGACCCGGTCCTTCTGTCTGCAGACGTCACAGTGGCCATGGCAATGGGTTGAATGACAGCGCCGAGGCCTACTCACTACACATACTGTACAGAGTGTGTGACAGACGGAAAGGTTCAAGTCGGGCGGGGGTTACCTCAGCCTGGGCTGCCCGCATCATGTTCTCCTGCTTCTGCAGGATGGCATTCATACGCTCAAAGAACTCCACACTCGCCTCTGAAATCCTGCCAAAAAGAGGGAGAAGATTGACAAATAATCACGTCTAAAAATAGAGACGGAAAAGCGAGTCGAAATGCATGTCGCACTATGGTATACGCCATCTGATCAGTTTAACACAGGAGTATTTATGGTTGGTAATTAAAAACAGCAGGATGTGGTGACATCGGTGGGATCAAACTGCAGCCTGTTTACAGACACTTCTGAGGAGCGTCTGTCAATACAGATGATCTGTTTCCTTCTTATGGTGACCTACTGGACTCCATCTCCTGCGGTTCAGTTCTTTATTAGTTATCAAACCTCAGCTTGTCTCTGGTGCTAAAAAAATAAATAAATAAATTCAACATGCCTGCACTCTGCATGAACCATGTTAATCTAATGTGATGAGTGGGGCCGTGTGCAAAATGCAAATGATGATTTCTGTTTCCTCCAGGTGTGAGTGAATCCCCGAACTCCCGCCGGCCCCAGTTGTCATGGTGATACAGGCGCAGTCAGGGAGGGAGTAGCTGGATGAACACCTTGGGAATCCCCATCACCACCACCACCGTCGCTCCCACCTCTTCTTCCTCCCAAATCTCTTCAGGGACATCTTCCTCCCAGCCAGTATGGAAATCGCAGCGGCTCTGATGTAAGCTGTAGCAGAACCGCTGGGATCGGCCATGCTGTCTGCCTCCTCATCCCCACCAGCCTCGCCCTCCCAGCTCCCACCTCATCCCTCATCACTCAGCCAATCCCCATCACATTATGCAGTCCACAGAGGCCTTGACACGCTTCTTTATTAGCATCATCACATCCCAGCAGGCGTGTGGCAGCCCATCCCAGCACCCACTGACTCTCACCAAGGTGGGGGAGCGGATGGTAAACCTACGAGGTATTGATAGAAACTAAGGGCTCCACGCTGGGAGAGCCTTGGAGGTGTTCAGTGGCATCAAGCCCAGAAAAACTTGAAAGAATAATGTATTTAGTTTGGATAGATGAAAGCTTACATTATAGTTAATTCTCCCTCCCCAAAAATGTGCTTTGTGTAAAAAAATACACCACGCCACAATTCTTTCATCAAGTTTTAAGCTTAAGTCTCCTTGGTTGTTTTTTGGTAGTCGGGTTGCAGCTAAGTTTTTACATACGGGATCGACCAAAATGCTTTTTATAAAGTCTGATATAGATTATTATAATAGAAGCTGTACAATCATAGGGACAGGCTAGCGATATTAGAAACAGAGACTTGCAGTAAAAATAAAAATTCTGGTGTCAAAATTTAGAACGACAAATTCACACACACCAAACGGTTATGTTTTTTATGTTATGTCTTTTTAATGACATTTTGCACATGCTTAATTAAAACAAACAAACAAAAAACCCCAACTTTTTAGCATTTACCCTTCAGTTATGACGTTACTCATAGTGTGTAATCAATCAGATACATCTGTGGGCAGGTCGCTGTTGTCATTTTATTTTTACCGGAAATCACTTTTTAAAAGCAGCAGTACCACAATTTTTGAGGATCAGATGTAATAATCGGCATGGCTAAAGATTGATTGATGCCAAAAAGATTTTCTTCAAGGTTGTTGGTTCATAAAAGGTCTAGAATTCATTAATCATCAACTTTGCAAACCCCTAAATGACTATTAGAGTGTTTGATGTGTCCTCATATCAGTCCACAACCCAAAGATATCCAGTTTAAAGTTTTATAACACAAGAAAAACATATTTAAGATGTTCAAACCAGTGACATTTGGGTATTTATCTTAAAAAAATAAGTTAACCATTAATTGATAATAAAAATGCTGAACGTACTAGTTTTGAAAACATTTTATTACCACTAAACTCTGTGGTCATCATTCCGTGTCCTGATGACAGTGCTTTGAATGAAATAGTGTGACATTAACCACTTAGCTCTATGCTGTTACAGCACACTTCAGCTGCACAAGCCAAGAGCTCTGGCTGGTTCACATTAAGCATTACAGGAGACTTTCTCATGGCGGCCATTTACTAATGAACTCCCATAATGCTCTGTGTTTGCCAGCATGGAGTTGCCAGTAGTTGGAGTGTGCGTTTCCCTCAGGTCGCTATAGCGTTAAATAGTAAGAGGCTCCACCTGATGGTGCAACCAGGTACTACAGCTAATGTGCTTTATTGTTATATCTTTAACTGGCTACATTATTAACAACAAATAATCAGATAATGATTCATCTTTAGCATTAATAACTGACTACTAGGTCGATGCTAAAACAAATTTGCATCAACTCAAAGTCTTTACCTTTCACTCTCCCTGGTGCATTTGTTTATTTTGCTAGACACAAATCACAACCTAAACTGTTATTCTTTTCTGAAACTCCTCAGTCAGCGTTTGAAAGGCTTGAAACCACAAAACCGAGTCGACAATCTGTGATGACTCCACAAACAAGCCCTGCTCCACTGACAAGGGATTGGGAGCTTTGTGATCTGGAGCTTACAGTTTTGATTTGTACATACAGTGCAAATACGCTTAATTTCATGGTAAGACTTGTGTTTTCAGACACTCAATTCTCCCCGCATCCGTCTTCAATCGTCCAGGGCATTCTCGTATCCAGAAATCTGTCCCTTCTTCTGTCAGTCAGCTTGAGGATTTGTCCAGACAGTCTGGGATCTTTTTGTTTTTCCTGTTTCTCTCTCTTTTTCTCTCTTTTTGGGAAAACGTGATCACGAGCATAAATGATGCCCAAATGATGCAAATCCAGTCAATTTTGATTTGATACATCACAGGAGGAAAAAAACAAAATGCTGATATCTTTCAACCTCTCTCTCACACACACAGACACACACTTGTGCACACACATGGCGCCAGAATAACAAACTGATTTGATGTTGCTAGGAAACAGGTCGTTTTTGTTTTGTTTTTTTTCCTTTTAAAAAACTCGCTTTATTCTAATTTATTTTCTGAATTCGCTCAAATGCTTCAATTATGTTTTTCTGTCTAGGGGGTAAATCAGCGGCAAAGGCGATATAAAAACATGAACACTCAGAACTTCTTTTATCTGGGATAATATGTTTAAACATTGCTAATTAAGAGTGTGAAGGTGACGGCCCCTCACGTCAAACTTCAATATAATATGGCAGTGCATGCATAGTAATTAACATCGCAGACATCACTGTCATCTGCAGCATGAAAAACAATGTGACGTCTGCATGCATTGTAATAAAATAAGATTTTTTTAATCCCATTCATTGTGCTTGTCACCGCATAATGCGAGTCTGCAGCTCTTATCATAAAGGAAGACCTCTATGACAATACAACACAGAGGGATGTTAGTTTTACTCTAATTACACATTTGATCAAGAGACAAAACATTACAGGTGGAAAGGCATCGTGGTGAAGATATGATAAGAAAAGCTCTGGTTGAATCTCTCTGATCAGTAACTTACAAAAGAAACAATCCAGCTGGAACTACTGACAAGCACAACAGCGGTTTGGTGTGAAACTACTTGAGTTCTCTTCGGTTCTTCACAACTGTCTTCCACAGTCTTTAATTCCTCACTGAGTTGATTAATAGCTGACTGAGGAGTTCATATTTATTAAAACAGGCCATCTTTAACATGATCCCTGACTACAAGATTATGAAACCATTTCCTTTATGTCTGTTATTCATCAAACTATATAGTATGACAGCAGTGCTACAACTAAAGAGTACCTGTGTTAAATTAAAATAAGTCGTGGATACATCTCACACAGGTAAAGTTAAATTAATATAGTGGAAATTCCTTTCTTCAAACCTTGTGTGTGGTACGTCCGTTACCACGTCCAAAACCAAAACCAACAGTGACCTGATCCTGCTTTGTTTAAATAGCCAAAACCTGATACATGTTCATATTTCTATATTTCTGAACATTTAATATGGTCTTGTCCACGTTGCCTTGACAGACAGGAAAACTGACATGTTAATTAATAACTGGGGAAACTCAACTCAGCTGATGAAGAAGACACATCAGTAAGTAACAGTGTCCTCCTGGGTGATGCATCCATTCATTACAATTATAATAGGTATTTATGTACAGTGGTGGAAGATAATATCAGATCTGTAATAATGAGTTTAAAGAAGAAGCAATATGGCAGTAAAAACAAACAAAAAGAAAACTCTTTGAAAATACTCTCTTAAAAATCCTAGAGTGGGCTGCAAGGTGGATCAGTGGTTAGCATTGTTGCCTCGCAGCAAGAAGGTTGCCGGTTTGCGTCCCTGTGAGGACACCCGGGATCTTTCTGTGTGGAGTTTGCATTGTTCTCCCCGTGCAGCGTGGGTTCTGTCTGGGTTCTCTGGCTTCCTCCCACACAGTCCAAAAACATGTTGAGGTTAATTGGTGATTCTAAATTGTCCATAAGTGTGAATGTGAGTAGGGCAGGATGATATGGCCAAAAATATTTATCACAATATAAATTAGAAAATTTGCGATAACGATATAACTGACGATATAACTGACGCGAGACAAAATACTTCAAAACTGCACAACTTTATTGGTGCAAATAAAGAGAAAGAATTATTTCTTTTCCATTTAGCAAGCAGCTGTTTTTTATGCGCATTAAAGCTATATTGTACCAAAATCAACAGTGCATAAGTTGTAAATTGCTTGCTGACAATTTGTTTAATCAAAAGGCCTTGAGCTGACAAATCCTGAGCATAACAATGCATTATATCCACAAACGTAAAGTAGAGCTGCGGGCGAATATTCAGATCTCAAAATTGCCATGTGGACACCACCACAACGACTGAATATTCCGATATTCGGGTCCAGCCCTACTGTGTCGGTCAACGCACTGCATTCGTCCTCCTCCTCGGTCGTCGGCATGAACGAAAGCAACGGCACTGCGCATGCGCATTTCACTCTAATTTTATCGCGATATTTCAATTTCATATCATCCCTTAACATTACACCGGTATTACTGTGCACGGTATGATATGGCCCAGCCCTAAAGGTGAGTGTGCTTGGTTGTCTGTCTCTAAGTGTAGCCCTGTGATAGACTGGTGATCTGTCCAGGG